GTAAAAGTAATTATGCTTCGAGAGAGGAGAGAGGGGTGGATTAAAGATTATTTTTATTATAAAACGGAGCGTTGAATATATTATGCTTATTATAACCTCGTCAAAAAATTATAATATATTTTTATATATATATATATATATAGACAACGAAAAAAATCATTTTACAGCATTATAGGGATAAAAGTTTATTGTTCAGTCCCCCGTACATCACGTGTTCAATACTTTTAATTTAGATTGATCGTTATATATATCGTATATAAATAAACAAAGTACATTTTTTTTTCTATAAATAACATAATTCTATTGTAATGAAACTTTCGACTCGAATAATTTTCACCGGGAAAGCGGTGTAAAAAACAATGCTTGTTTTTCGTTCGGCTATTTATTCATACGATCATGCGTAATAATAATAGTAATCATAATTATTAACGATTTTAATTTATTCCGTAATGAAGGCACTATAATAATTATGACGCGAATAAATAAGTCGAGTCTAGTAAAAAAAAAAAAAAACCAAATGACAAATTACAACTTGCGTCTGTGCATACGGACGTCATAATACTATTGTTTTCCGTCGGGTCCAGGCGAGAATTTCGACACTCGTCTTATGGAGACTCGTCGACTGTTAACGTTACCGAAAATCGTAACAGGTTTTTCGCGTTTCAAAAAATCGAAATCAACGTTTTGTTGCCGATCGTTTACGGGGGTGTCCCCCCCACCCGCGACTATTGTTCTACCGTGTACCGACGTCCGGCTAATTTTCGTCCGCCGTAATATCGTAAAATCGCTATCGTAAAATGTATAGCGACAGTATCGTACGCGCGTCCGGGATCGTACGGTAAAAACGATCAAACCGCCCTGTTCGGGGGTTAGGGGGGTGGGGGCGAACCGCGCGCGTGTTGCGCGAACACGTAATATAATGCGGACATATGCACAGACGCATACGTTTTGTAAATCCGACGACGGCGGCGGCGCTGCCTCCGCGTCCGCGTCAGCGGAAAACGCGCGCCGTTCGTCTCGGCGAAATCCGTCGCGGAGTCGCTATTGTCCCGCAGCGTGTACACGGATACGCGTGCACATTATTATTCATTCTCTTCCGCGCCCGTAATACGCCCAAGCGCGCGGAGCGGAGGAGGGAGGGGGGTGGATTTAACGCGAAATCATTACTGTATACGGTTTACGGGGGGGGGG